TTTGAGTTTGTTTCTCGATTCTGGAGATCAACGTGTATGTCAATTGTACTTTCAATGCAGTGGACGAGGAGAAATGAACCGAATACTTGCCGGGTCGAACTCCAAGCTCTCTGGAGAGGATGATGCAGTTTCAACGTCTGGCAACTGGAAACATTTGTTTGGCCACGGTTTCGACTTGCCTTTTAGGGCAAAAAGTCCTAGTGCGTTGGCACAGGGCGCACAGGTCAGGGTCCAAGGGGTGACTGGGCAGGCCGTTTTTCAATAGCGCCCCTTTGCCATCCTCTATTTTTGTTGACCGATCGCTGGACCAAGTCATCGTTGTGAGGTAGGTTCTTGTTCCGCGCAGGTGGAGTTGAGTGGCGACTCTGGGTGGCAGCCCGAACCCTTACGACTGTGCCCGCAGCCAAGGCAGGATTCCGGAATCCGTTCCGACTGCTTGCGCAGGAAGTCAATTCTGTTTAGGTCACGTCGTAGCTTCAACAAGTGAAAGTGACGAGTCATACATTGTGTGGCTATTCTCAGGGGATCACCCTGGGAACACCAGCGCATCATCTCTCAGAAAAGGGATGATTCGAAGTACCCCTGCGACTGGAAGACATCTCCATTCATTCGTGTAATTTATGAATGGGTTTGTAATGTCTTGCAGAGCAGATTGAATCTTTTTGTTGAGTGTTCTCTTGAGCGAACATATTATTTCAATTCCGCATTTTTCAATGCGCTTTTGAGATGGTTGTGGGTCCCATTAGGCAGACAAGGTGGCGGATCACATACCCTGCAGGCTGCACCGGCGCATTACCGTTTGCTCCTCCATGCCTTGGTTCGCAGCCATGCGCATGCACAAGATCATGCCCTTCGTCGTGGAGGCCCCCTTTCGCGGCAGAGCTTTCCTTGCGCTTTCATTGAGTGCACACGTGAGCAGTCAGAAGGCAACCCCCTAACTTAAGTGTGAGGAGCTGATTACATAGTTTTGAACTTGCTTGAGATATTCTCATATCCAGGCCTTTCATGCCTGCGACTCGGAGTAGGCATCGTGGTCCACGGGTTGTTTTTGTGTTGGTTTGGAGTGAAGCTGGGAGGATTGGCTGAACTACCACTCCATGCGCGGGGCATAGTTGTTCGAATGACCCAGTTTGGCAGGGCTGTCTCCGATGCAGATTCAAGTGGGTCAGGGAATTCAAGCTTTTGCATTGGTTTGTGAGCTAAGCATTGGAATCGACCATTTCGTCATCTATGACGCTGACGGCTCCTACGAGCCCTTCTTGCAGAAGTTCATTCAACAGGGTCGCGCGCGAGGCTTAGGCTTCTGACTCGGAGTTGCACACTGCAAGGGCCTGAGGGACCACATTGACTCATAACATAGCAATCGGTTGCAGGGCGGAGAGTTTGAGCAAACTGTTGATCCCAAGTGCTGCGAGAGAACCGACCGTGATCATCTTATGTGTCTCATGCGCAGCACGTGAGAGATAGTTGTGAGCTTTGGCTTGCCGGCTTGCCATTGACATTAGCTTTGACCGGCAATGCAACACTTCGCCAAGGGCCATGGTACGAACCTCGCAGGGTTCCCTTTCCGAATGTTGTTTTCACCGGGTGCACTTGGCAAACTCCACGTGCAGGTGACCTACCACCCAAAGTGGCCAGAGACACTTCTGCCAACCTTCGGCACCCTGGCAGATGAAGTGTCGCAGGACTGGGAAACCGGGGACCCACAAATGACGCCCTTGCAAGACATGCTGAGCACCACTTGAAAGATGCGGTATTCTGCAACTGTCGGTGGAGGCCTACGACTTTTGGCCTTTGTTGGGTGGACTCAAATTCAGGAGTGACGCAGAATTTGCAAACTATATTAACCACTCTTCACATCAATGGGTAGCGTATTGTCATGCTGTCTAAAACGTGAGCCTGGTGCCCCAGCCACTTGCTTTCAGCGGCCGAGGTAGTCAGTTGACTTGATGGGAACATGATGGGAACTTGCTCACCCGAGAAAAAACCGACTTACCAATGTAAGTAGTACTCCAAGACCAAGTCTAAATCACAATTCATCTCTGATGCTGCAGAGTTGCACCATGCGGCCACGCTCAAAGCTTAAGTTCATTGGTCGAGTCCAATTGCGAGCAGCATCCCTCTGCAGCGGCTTGCAGGAGTATCGTCGTCCTGTTGCAGTAGAACCACAATGCCCCTGGAACTCAGATTCATTTATTGCCGTCTTTCCATCATGGAAGTGGACAGGGCTTGCCTGTCAGCTTCCGTGCTTGGGTCAAATTCTGCGGACCGAACGCTCAACAAATCTCTGCCCCCCTGGCTTGCCGCTTGCCTTTCCGTTTCCAGAGCCGGCAGGTCGACTGTTTGCTGGCGGAAGCGAGTTGACAGCCCATACATTCCCTGGACTCGTTACGTGTGTGTTTGGGGTGCATGTTTCCCAGGTCTGGATCACTGCATTTGGCAGCAGAAGCATCAGAGTGACTGGGTCTTGGTGCTGCATAACTTTGAGGACGGGCGGATGGTTGGAAGTTCAAACCGATGCCTCATGAGCTGCCGAGCATGGGCTCTTAGACATCAGATGAATGAAACGATCAGCAAGCTGAGCACTTTGACCGCGCTGAATCAACCTGCTGGTGCGATAGGGAATGGGAGTGAACCCAGGGGTCCCCTTTAAGGAAGCGTCATCCCCTCATTCCTGGCTGACAGCAAGTCGCAGAGGAGTATTTGTCTTCGCCTCTCTTCCCAGAAAAGCTGCAGAAGAAGAAGGGCTCCGCATTGCTGTCGCTTCTGGAGGACTGGTCAGATGAGGCTGAAAGTCACTAGTCTGCATCCAATCTACAACTTACAAATGCTTCTTGAAGCATCTTGCCCTTTTTGATTTTCTGATGTTGCCAGCGTCAGAAGTGGTAGCGATCCTAAGATGGCGTCAAGATGGCCAGATGCCAGACATGGCGCAATGAAGGGGAGTGTCACTCGCAAGCTCGTATTTTTGCTCGCATCCCAATAGCTTCTCACCTTCCACTAGTCCCCGATTGAACTATATTTGTCTGGGCAATTTGGTGTGCGCTGCATCGTCTCCTTTGTCTCTGCATCCTTCATCCCATCATTGCCCCGCATCATGATCTGCCTGACACATGCAAACTGTAGGAAAGGCCGTACGTCCCTTTAGGCCGCCTTAACCTTGCTTGCGCCCAAAGGGGAACAGGAGTGAAAGCCACTGCCTGTGTTATTTCGCAAAAGAAATCGACCACCCCTTCCCCCCAACCATTGGGAAAGCCAAGATTCGGCATGTGGCAGCTTGCACTGCACCAAGTTGAGTGCGAGTTGCAGGCATGGGTCACCTGTGCCAAGACGCCACTGCATACCTTCTTATTTTGTCCGCCTTCATCTGACATGGGTTTGTCTTTTTTTCAGGGTACGCTTTTGGGGGTTGATTTAAAGGGAAACCACAGGAACCCCACATTTCTGTGTTGGAGGGCGGGGGGTTCCCCATTTTAAGCCACACCCACATCTCGCTTTAGAAGCCTCTCCGGACTCCACTTCTGGACCTCTGGAGCCGAGCGAGCTTGTGCCAGCCTACGGGACTTGTAATGGACACAGCATGAGTTGTCCATCGTCAGAGTTCATTTTGAGAACTGTTGTGCATGTGGGCGCATGCATGCCACAAGACTGCGAGGCAACATCGGGGTATTCGACTTATTCCAGGAGGTGATGGGCGGACCGATGCTTGCCTGCAAGCAGCTGACTCTGCATCTTCAGTCACAGCGTCATAGTCAACAAAATGTGCTACTCAGCTGCCACTTGCAGTCAGAGCCCGGATTCGATGCTATCACACTCAAGCCATTTTGAGCAAGGCTTCACTTGGAGTTGGTACACGTACAAGAAGCTTCCCAGACGGATTCAGGAAACGCAGGGGTGCCACAACTCTGTCCAAGTGGACACGGAAGCGCCCTGCGGCAGAGCCCAGCCTTGGCAGGCCGGAGCATTGGATTGACGGACGCCTGGGTTCTTAACCTCCGCTCCGAGTGCATACAACAAGTGAGTGCCACTCTGCGTCGTGTTCTTTCGCAGGCTTTTTGCCATTTGAGCGAGGCACGGACAGAATCATCTGGTAGACGATTTCAATGAAGTTTGATTCGCAAGGAGACGTCACGGCATGAGACAACTTTGGCTGTTCGCTTTCGAGGAGAGTAACTTGCAGCCCTTCACACAAGAGGAGGAAAACTGCAGGGCTTTTGTGTCAGGGGGCGGTGGAGCAAGTAACACAGCTGAGCGATTGCGGCAGTTCTCACCTGTCCAGGTCTGAGAATCACCAGCGCAGCTTCTCCTTCATCGCAGATCCTGTGCAGGTGCTGCAGAGTGCGGTCCACATTGCGCAACCCAAGCGCCTTGACACGCAGCCGCACGCGACTGGGAGACTGGGGGGGGCGGGGGGCGGGGGGTTGGGGGGCGGGTGGTCGTGAAGTGTGAGGTTTGTTGGCCAAAAGATGGGGGGTTCGGATACGGCAAAATCTATTTCAGTTGCAGCGAGACATGGGAATGTGCTTCGCAAAGAGATGACGGCAGGTGTTATTGTCAGAAAGAATGGAGAGGCGAGCGGCCGGAAACGAAGAGCAACAGCTTAGTACGATTTGCTGCGCTGGTTTGTTTCCCAACATCTTTTCCCGTTGCGTTGCACGCTCTGCGACTTCCAGGTATGCCAGCACGGTGATGTCCACAGTGCATGCGGAGCGTCTCTGTGTGAAGCACTATGTGGATTTGGGGACACTTGGCGACAGCCGGCGAGTTTTCTCCGATTGCTTTTCGCGGAAGGCGCCATGACCTGGAGGTTTGACCATAAAGTTTGTTCCAGAGCCTTTGTTCTCAAGGCTAAAAGAAACAACCGACGTGTCGTGTGAGTTCAGTCGAAACTCTTGCAGCCCAAGGGATTGGGTCTTGCATGTGGTGGGGGAAAAAAACGTGCAAAAGCTACTGTCGTTTAGGGCAGGGTTCGCATTTGCATCAAAAGTTCACCTTGCTGCCATATTTTTTTGGTGTGCGTTTCTCAGGGTGCCCTTTCTGGGGTTGGCTATAAAAAAGCGAAACCACAGATTTGGGGTCCCCCGATTTTAGGCACATGCCCATATTTGGAGCATTTCCCATTTCAGTTCTCGTCCGTGCTGGACTGTGCCTCCATAGCTACGAATGTATCGGTTGCTCAAGCCCCAGCATCTTTGTTGAGGTCCGTTTATGGTGCGTAAACTGCACTTCAAAGCTCGCCTGATGCGATTTTTCAGATGCGCAAAATTGAATGCGTGCTCACGGCTGTTCGGATCTTCGCATCAACATCTCTGGCCTGTTTGCTTTGAAAAGTGAAGGATGGGCTTTGTTTGGATTTTATTTGCCTCTCTGTCTCTCTGCCACTCCGTCCTTTTTGTCTTTCGGTCTCTTTGCCTCTCTGTCTCTCCCTGTTTCTCTGTCTAACTCTCCCTCTCTGTCTGTTTCTTTGTCTATCTTGCTAGCGTGGGGCGACGCTCTTGAAGAAGCTTGCATGAGGCATGGCTGCTTTGCGCATTGCAGACATGACTTGGCATCCCGCGCAATCAGTGGTGAAGCTGTTGCAGCTGTTGCCCCTTCAGGAGCAACAAGTCACGTTGCGAGGAAGAGGGCTATGCAGCTCGGTCGCATGACGCCGTGTAGTTTCTGGTTGAATGGAGCTGCCAATCAAAAGTTGAGTCAATTCACATTCAATGGAAGTGGTTTGCGTTCGACAGCTGGCTGTGGGTCAAAACCAATGGTACCATTTTGGGGTAGGCGCACCACCCATTTTAGTCTATTTTAGTGGGGTTTGGGATGTTCACTGGGGTTACGATTTGGGTTTTGACCCATGGCCAGCTAGTGCCACAGAGAGTCTTGGCCTTTCGGTCTGCAGCTCAGGGCTGCCACGAAGAGGACGGGAGCCCGGTCTCCTTTGGGACCGCGGGTTGCAAGCGATTGGGTCTACGGTTTCCATGCATTCGTTGAGGAGGTTGATGGCTACAAGCGTCAGGATCAATGGACGGTGATGGTGATGGTCACAATCATGGATGGTGATGATGGTAGTGGTTCTGTTTTTTTTTGTAATCATTACCATCACTATCCATTGCGTGGATAGAGTTCTTTATAGTGGTAGTGTTGCGTTCAACACGTTTTATATTTAGATATTTAGTTGTGATACCTGGACACCCCGCCATGGGCTCGCAGACACTGTGCGAGCATGCACCTTTGGGACCCAGCTGACCAGTACGAGGGGTCTGCCCAGGATACGTCCATGCTCTGGGCAGAGCCGTTGGTGCTTGCCATGCGCGGCCCTGCGCCCTTTCGAATGGGCCGAAAAGAGTTGCTGACGCCGTCCAAGACATGGGTGGTTTTGGCAGCGGAAGTTATGTGTGGCCAGCCACCTTAAACGATTTCCGAACTTTCACCCATGGTAACATTGGGAAGCGTGAGCGAGCCTACTGAGGCCCGCGAGATGTTTCTGGGTGCATGGAGTCCATAGGCGTGACATCCTACAAGATGCCCATTCTGCTGGCATGTTGAATCGAACTCACCCCCAAATGTGATTTGAGGGCCTCCCAATGTCCACTTTACTTTTGGCCTCCTTCCAACGGCTTTGAGTTCAGTTGAGTTCGGCTTGTTGTGAGCAGACGTCGGCTTGTTTCCCACCCGGTCCCTTTCATGCAGTGTGCAACGATACGTAGCCAGCGGTTCATGATGACCATGGGACCGTTTCGGCAAACCCAAGCCCTGACCGTACCGGAAATCGCATCACGCCGAAGTCAAGAGACGTGTTAGCCACAAACACCAGAGCACATATCACGGCTACTTGCTGTCTCGCCTTTCCGGCATGCCATGGCCTCTCGCGAGCGCAGCGCTGCAGCCGAAGCGGCAACTTGGACAAACTCAAAGGAGTCGCGGTGGCCTCGTTGAGTGTTCTGGCTCGGAGACATGACGTGCTGCTGAAGCTTTGCGGTTTGCTTGGCCCGGCTAAGGTTGAGAAATATGGCGGCCACGTGCCAAACTACCGAGCGAGGGGCGAGCAGCACTACCGCATTCCCTTCAAGGCGACTTGCCCGAACACGTTTGGGTAAAAACACCAAGCAACCTGGGTTCAAGTTGAAGATCACTCTTTCAGCGCCACCACCAGTGTCACTGTAGACAGAAATGTGGTGCGAGTGCTAAGCTACAAGCTGTCCCACTTCATTCGTGTCTCCCTTTCCTGGGTGTTCTCCACAGCGAGGCTTGCTACAGGCCCCCTCCAAGCCTTTCAGTATGCTGGCGGCGTCTAATGCTGTGGTTGGTTGTCCTCCTTGGTTTCGCTTCTCCAAAGAGCTTTGCAGACCATGAATATTTGTTCTCATTCTATACCCTGCCCAGGACAAGTCCCACCTCATCGACGTGCAGCCCCATCAGGAGTGGACCAAGGCTTGCTGCACAGTTGTTCTGAACTCTTGAATTCTTGATGTGGTGAGCTATGTGTAAGATAGGTGCGTGCCTTGTTGGATATTTGTTTGCTTTTTTGCTATGCTTCTTCCGCTTCCACCATGAGTTGCCGAAGGTGCCGAAGCACCGCACCCTGAACGAGCTGAAAGCAGCGCGCCGGCAAGCTCGTTTGCCGGATGCCTCGATGGCTCCTTGTCAGATGTTTTGCCTCTTATTTGTTTTGCCACGCATGTTTGATAGGTCAGGGTCCCAGGGTTGCCGCTACCGGGTTACCGGTTCGTTCTGGTTTTGTTGTTTTGTGCGCTCATGTCTTCCAGCGATCTTGGCAAGACTTGGCAGCCGTTGCGCCGGCATCAGGACATTGATGGTGATGGCGTTGTGGGCCCAACCGACTACTTTGTGGCAAAGGTCTTCAGCAAGGAGCGCAACATATTTTTTGGGGTAGAGAGGACGGCTAGTTTTTGACGGCTGGCACTTTTTTCTTCTTCCTCTTGTTCTTCTTTCAATTCTTCCAGCATCTGCAAGCTTTGCGTGATATAGCGAGCGAGTCAACCTGTTGGGAAGACTGCATGAACCAGATTGTTTGTTCCGTTTTGGGAGGCCCCGACTCTCGCTCCACACTCAGATCTGCGTCGTTTGTCTACCCATTTGCATGTCAGTGAGGCACTTCCAAGAGCACTGACTCGGCTAGGAGCAAGACAACCGGCTCACCACGGCGGAGAGAGGCTCCTGTGAGTGAGAGGTTTTCAGAGGGTTCCAAACTTACAATTTGCAGTGGCAGGCGGTTCGGCCATAGTCAATTCTGTGCCAAGAGTTTGACAAGGGGTCCATGACTTGTGGTGCCCAACGACGGATGTCTGCAGGCAAAGTGGTGGAAGCCTTGGAAAGCGGCTTCCTGGATCGATACGCTTGGGGCTATGACCAGGTGCGTGTGCATCTGAACGGTCAGAGAGCCAAGTTGAGTGAGTGCAACATGGGCACCTGTTCAAATGGACTTGAGCTCGTGTGCTGTTTTTCCCAGAGCTTGATGTTGGTAGGTATGTGCGGAATGGTAGCCTTTGCCACACATCCATCGCGGCTAGAACGAGAGCTTTCCAGTCTGCAGGTGGGCGCACAGCGGAAGAACGTTGTGAAGCAAATACGAGGCGCGAATTGCAGGTATTCACCCTCCTGCATTCAGAAGCTTCATTTTGCGGAAGGCTCAGTTCTTGTTCAAATGCGCAATGAGCCAGCCATTTCAAGGGCAAGGTTGACCTTTTGACCAGTGCCTACTGAGTGTATTTCTGCACAGTCATTTGAAGAATATATCGGTTTGGCACTCTTTAATTTTAAGCAGCATGTTGTTCGTGACTGAGCTGGTCACAGGGGCCAGAACTCCTTTTCAAGATGTTGGACTGTGAACAAACATGTAGTGAGACTTAGTTCGGCTGAGTTCAGGGGCGCTCGATGGGTCTCCAATTTGAGGGCCGCCCCTCTGGCCGAAGATCAATCAACTTCACTGGCCCTCAATACCAGATAAACCACTATATATAGACAACAGACACATTCTGGCTCCAGACTACTCCAGATTTGAGCCCAACATCAACCTCCTCCAGGTTTGCAAACATGACAGTTTTGTGGCAAAGACCCGTGGCGTTTGGTTCTACGGGCGGGAATCGAATTGGGAGGTCAGACAACGAAGCGAAAGCTGAACCCAGGGGCCCGAGGGGCCCGAGGGGTTCCTGGCACTGCAGAGATGCCGCTTCACGTGCACTCAACATGGATGACACCTCCGCAGGAAAGATCTACAACGGCGACAACCATCAAGAGCTAGCTCATGTCTATCCGCCCCACTTCAACGCACACAAGGCGGGCGCAACATGTCAGAGGCTCAAGAAATTGTGAAACCTCGGCAACCAAACCAAGACGAGCGCTCACTGTCAATGCTCTATTTGCATGCGAGCTCGCTGGACTGGTTCGTGGGTACGTGAAAGATGACAATGCTGTTGCCGAGCTCCGATAGGTACCGCGCTTTTGGACAGCTGGGAGCTCAGGCTGTGCAAGAGCTGTGGCTCTTTCCAGCAACTTACTTGTACCTGGGGGACTTATGTCACGTTCTGGACATGTACCAGTCCAGCTCATTTTTGTTTAAAAAGAAAGCTCAGGTGACATCCCCAACAGCATGCGGTGCTCTTTTTAGTGCTTGCACCACCCCGCAGCCCTCGCAGGCAGCCCTCGCCAGAACGTGAAACCCTCGTGGAACGCTCGTGGAACCCTCGTGGAACCCTCGTGGACCCTGGTGGAACCATGGTGGAACTCTCGTGGAACCTTGCCTCAGGGCCGCCCCGAACCACCATCTGGGCTGAGACCCCAAAGCTTTCAGCTGTTGGGGAAAAGTCTACCCAGTTGAGATCCGGGTTCCATTTCTTGACAACCCCAAAGCGGATTTCAACCAGGGGGCGTTGAGGCCAGCGAGATGAAGATGAGCCGCAAGGCCGAGATCGCCAATGAGGCGACCGCCATGAAAGAGGCAAGGCGGGTGCCGAACGTTTTTTGGCTTCTCGTTTTTTTTTTTTTTTTTCCTGGCTCCACTTTTTGTCAAAAACAATTGGGGGGTAGTTTTAAATGGAGCAGATTTCCGGTTGAGGAATCTTCGACTTGTTTTGTCGGAAGCTTTTTTGTCGGATGCAAGCGGCTCGAGGAGCACGAGGCCAAGCACCCCTGGCACATCACCGAGCCGCAGGTGCTGCAGGCCGAATGCGGAAGTGTTAAACACGGGGGGAAGGTCGGCCGAGCGGATCGTTGGTCTTTTTTGGGTTCTTTTTGTTTTCGAGCAGCATGTGATCCCAGAAGTCCCAGAAGTGGTGGAGATTTGCTTGTCGGCTTGGAAGTGGCGTTGGCGATCCGCGATGCGAATCTCGGAAGTGGCGTTGGAGGGTAAAACCAATGCATGCTAAGAAGTTTGGAGGTCGCAATTTGCTGAGACGAGGGCATGTGCGTTTATATTCACGTTCTGTACATGTTTGACAGCAGTTCTTCTCGAAAAGACCCAGTTTCTTGCGCGCAATTCCAACAAAAACAAAAAACTTTTTTTAGTAAAGAGATCTAAGACCACGCCCCTTGGCTGGATTTCAAGACCGCTCAAGCAGTTGACACTTGATTCGGTCTTTTTGGCCGTGCCCGTCTCCCTGGGGTGAGGAGAACCTACTGGAGAACCCGGGCTTCAGCAGCCGGCGGCAGCAGGCCGTGGCAAAGCGTCAGGAGGCGCAACCGGCAGCAGTCGGTTGGATGCGCTCCAAGATCTGCTTTTCACGTGAGTTTTGTTCTCGGGGGGAGGTGGTACTTGGAGGTGGTACTTTTGGAAGGTGTGGGTAAACTGTCGCTGCGGAGAAATGTCAGAAAAATGCTCTGGCACCGAAGAGTTGGAATCGCAGCACGGAGATTGCTGATGTCTGGTTCCAATGCCTGGCTGAGCAGCCTAAATTAGATCCTGCGCGGCCACTTTTGCATTGAGGAGGGAAAGCTCGCGTTGAGCTGTTTCAGAGCAAGGCCACTGGCCTGCCATTGCTCAAGTGCAACAGTGCATGTCCAGCATAGCATTTTGAAAACAAAGGAACAGTAGTGATAGATTCCCTTCAAAGCCTTGGTAGAATAATGTGTTGTCTTTTAATATCATACTTATTATATATATATACTCAGTTGTTCAAAGCCGACCTTTTGACCTTTTGGTTTTCCCATTTTGGTCCATATTTAGTCATGGCCCCAAAAGGTTAACCTTTTAGTTCCAGGTCCTTTGGGCACCTGAGTATACATATGTATATACATATATATACATATGTATATACATATATATATATATATACATATGTATACATATATATATATATATATACGCATATCGTTAATTGCAGCCTACCGCGTTTCGGAGTGACAAGGCCCATGCAGCCCAATGCCACGCACTCAGCCTCGCCGGCGCGAGTCATGCTCGCGAGGCCCGACTTCGCGGGGGCCTGGATGCGGATTCCTCGGTGGACCTGCCGCGCACAGTGCCGGGCCTGGCCTACGTGGAGGTGCCTGAGGCGGGAGACGTCCCACGTGGAGGATGTGAAGCTTAGGGACAGTCCCTGAGATGCCCCCTTTTTGATTTGCATTCCTTTGGGGTTTGCTTCAAAGATTGGATTGCGACTCGCATGGAGGCCGATGCAGCCAAAGTGTGTCTTGTGTGCAGTTCTACCGGTATTGCAAAGCTTGAGGCGTGTTTTCAGATTTTGTTTGATTAGTATAACTCCATCTTGAGATGCTTGTGCATGCACTACGAGTGCCAGTCGTTCAATCTCAGTTGCCATGTTGGCTGATAGTGACAATTGCGTGGCCATAGTTACATGTAGCAATACGCTGTTTGCCCTACATTCAGAAAGCTACACTAGGGCAGAGAGAGCAAAGTCTACCAAAAACATATGCACTTGCTCAATGAATTGATCCATTTTACTCAGTCCAAACATTTCTGATTTCCGAACTTGCTCTTGGTCGGCTCAAGCATGCGCAACAAAGGTTGTACAAGCGAAAATTGACAACCTGTTTTAAACCACATTGCTCGCTGGCCCTGCTGGTTGGAAATGGAAGATGAGAGGTTCTGGGACAGCTTGTAGCGTGGCTCAGCCTTGTTCGGCCTTGGCCCCAATATTGTTTTGAGTGTATCGTTTTTGAGGTGGGTTTTAAGGGAAGCCAAAAGAAAACCACAAGCTTTTGGTGTGTCCACCATTTTGAGAGAGCCCCACATGAGGGCCAGTTTTTCCTGTTTCTGCCGGTTCCAGACGCAGCGGACCACTCGGCAAAAGGCGAGCGCCTTTTTGGGCGCCAGACGGGCGCAGTGGAAGCTGCTGACACGTCACACCACATCAGGTGCCGGTTTTGTACCGGGGGTAAAGCGCCTTTGCCGCCCACCTAAAAGAGGAGCCAACTTTGCGGGAGGTGTCCAGGCGCGTGGAGGTGCATGGTTTGCAATAGCCACTATTCATGAGTTCGGCGCAAGGAAGCCTTGCTGGTGGCTTCGTGTGGATCGACAAGCATTGCGAGCAGTATAGCCATATGGAAGGATTGTTTTGAAGGTTCACTGCGGTTTTCGTGTGCTGGCGATTGGATGTCATTGAGAAGCAACAGAAAGACCGCCTTACTGTGAAACTCATGAGCTGTGTTTGGTTGACTTTCCCTCCTACAGATCAACATGGAACCCGGAAAATTCCAGAATTATCTAGAGGAAACCCCTATTTTGGGGGACTCCCTTTTCGTGTTCCATCTTAATTTGTAGGGGAGTGTCCATATTGTCATGTAGTTGATGGCAAGCTTTGAACGGGGCAGACGCATGTCGCTCTCGGAACCGGGCCTCGACGCCTCGAGGCGCGCACGCACCGGGAGCTCAAGACGCAGCGGAAGCAGCGAGACCTGGCGAGTCTGGCCGTGGCGCACCAGGAGGGCTCTGCCAGCTATGTGGCGCCGGAGGCCGGAAAAAACGGCGGAGCAAAGAAGCGCGAGTCAGTTCAGTGAGCCTGGTGATGGAAGACATGGCAATCATAGGTGTCCTTTTTAGGTTAGTTTGGCTAGAAATAGATTTGGCTGGGTTTTATTCCATTTACCGGGGCCGTCTATGTTTCATCAAAAGGCCCTATGAATCGTCACTTCCCGGCGCTTCTGCGGCTTCTCTTCTCCGAAGCCCGGCCCGGAAGGTACGGCACACGCAAGCGGAGTACGAGGAGCATGAGGCTCGAGCGTGGCGCGAGTGACTGGCAGCTAGAAGCTCAAGGTACCCCACCAAGTAGCATGGAACCGGGTTTGGACTCTTTTCCTTTGGAAGGGACTCCATGTTCATTGCTGGGAGGGTATTCCCCCGTTGCCAAAACAGTTCTCCAGTTCCAGGCCCTAAAGAGTGCGGGTTCCGGCGCAGGCGCGGCGCGCAGATCCCGGAGCGGCCACCTTCACCAAGCTCCATGATGCGCGGAAGCGCGAGTTCATCGAGTGCCCGGATTTATTCTTATCCACACTGCAACACGTGCAAGATGGGTGTGGCTCAAAAATAGGGGTCCAAAATGGAGCCCTGGCAAATGGAAAGGGTAGACTAAAGCCTGCGGAACCCCGGCTGTTGAATTTTGAGCCACATTCAGATCTCATTGCGTCTTCAAATGTTCCTCAGGCACATTTGCCGCACAGACAGCTGCATTCACGACTATGAATGCCTGGTGCCTGTGTGACCCGTTCCTTGAGGTACAATATGCAACACTTTCCTCATCGTCACAAGCAGCTGCCCATGTTTTGCAAGCAGGATTCTAGTGTGCACCTGTTTTTTTTTTCTCTGAGAAGCTGCAGCCGCTGTCTTGCACTGGCGTGCTATAGATGTTCGGATCTGCCAGATTCTGCATCCTGTTCACAAGTCTTTTCCCCTGTTGTGTGGATTCACTGTCCGCCGGGCTATCCTACAGCACTTAGTGCTCCAAGGTGTAGAAATTTAGGCGTAAAAGAAAGATTGCTGAAAAGACTCCCCGATAAATGGACCGAAATGGACTCCCTACAGATTGCTAAAAGAGTTTGCGTATCGATCAATGGCCTCCATGTGCTTCTGACGCGCTACAACCGTCAGGACCAGCACTGGTGGAAGCTCCGAGAGACCTTTGTTGCCGAGCCCGGCGTGGCAGGCAAGGCGGAAGCTCCCGTAGCTGGCAAGGCAGGGCCACACTTGCAGTGCTGAGGGAATCCCCAAAGAAGTGACCACACATTCCTTTGAATTATGGAAGGCTTCGGACACTTGGAGGTGTTGGCAGCTGTTTGAGGTATGATGAGATGCTGTGTTAGCTCATAAATCCCACGACATATTGTTCACCATTTGCGCACATATATATATATATATATGTATAGATGCATTAATGTGGGTTTGGCGCCAAGTTTTACGTAGCTGTCATATGAGTCATGAATATTTGACAGCAGTGTGCGTTTCCGTAGAACCCTGAAGCTCAGTTGAGACCCTTTGTTGCTTTTGCGGTTTGCTCGTTTGGATGATTGAGCCGGGCGAGGTTACGCTTTTGATACACGAAGCGTGCTCTTGGTCCGTTACGAGTCGCTCCACGCGGTGAAATGTGGAAGATGTTTTTGCGAACGTTTTGAGAAAGACCCGCGCGAAAGCTCGGGCTCCGATTGCTGGGGGGGAGGGCAGATTTCCAGCCGAAGCTGCAGATGTGCATTCGTGTACTGACTTGGTGCTGAAAAGTTGCCTTTCCAGCGACTTTCTGACTCTACAGCAATTAAAAGTGCACGGAGATGACTCTGCGACATATTTGCGAAAATAACTGTGTGTTCCCGCCGCGAAGAATGGCCGTTTCGGCTAGAGCTTTGAACATCACCCATATTATATTACCTGCAATATTATCGAATATATATATATATACACACACATACACATGTATACACACATGTATGCATGTGTTTGAGTGGGGTGTGCGTGCCAACATCCATCCGTCATCCGTCCATTTATCCATCCGCGCAGTCATGCCATCCAACAACCCGACCAACCAAATCGCCACTCGAACATGCATCTAGCCTATCTAATCTATCTATTTGTTTGCCTGCCTGCCTGCAGGTTTGTTTGTCCATCCATCTTTCCATCTATCCATTGATCCATCGATCCGTTTGTGCGTCTATCTCTTTATCCGTCTATCCCTCCATCCCGAATCCGTCTATACATCTACGAGCCTGCGAACCTAGCCACCTGTCCATTCTAGTTATCAATCGATCCAAACATCTATTTAGTCTATGCATCCATTTATCCACCCATGCATGCACCCACCCACACACCCACACACCCAGCCACCCAGCCACCCACCCAACCCTCCACCCATCCATCCATGAATCCATGCGGCCGTTTGTTCATTAATTTATCCATGCATACATGCAACGTCGCATACGCCCACCCACCCACCCACCCACCCATACACCCTCCCACCCACCCACCCACCAACCCACCCACCCACCCACCCACCACCCATCCATCCATCCATCCATCCATCCATCCATCCATCCATCCGTTCATGCCTTCCTCCCTCCCTCCCTCGCTCCCTCCCTCCCTCGCTCCCTCCCTCCCTCCTTCCCTCCGCTCATTCAGTCATTCATTCAGTGATTCATTCATTTATCCATTCAATCATTCCTAAATTCATTCACTAATTCGTTCATTGGTTCATTGGTTCATCCGTTTTTTTTTTGTTTATTGGTGTATTGATTCATTGATTCATTGGTTCATTGATTCATTCATGCAAACATTCAAGCATTCGCGCGTTCATGCATTCTTGCGTTCGTTTGTTTGTTTGTTTGTTTGTTCATCCATCCATCCATCCATCCATCCATCCATCCATCCATCCATCCATCCATTCATCCACTCATCCACTCATCCATTTATCCATCCATTCATCCATTCATCCATCCATTCATCCATTCCTTCATTCCTTCCTTCATTCATTCATTCTGCCTGCATTCCTTCATTCATTCATTCATTCGTTGGTGCGTGCCTGCGTGTCTTCATGCAGAAGGTCGTCCATGCATACATACATCCATGCATGCATGCACTTGCATGTATCCCCGTCGTCGATTCATTCATCCTTTTTTTTGCATCCATGCATCCATGCATGCATGCGCATGCATGCATCCATGCGTTCATGCATCAATCCATCCATCCATCCAATTCAGCCAGCCAGCCATCCAGCCTACCAGCCAGCCATCCAGCCATTCACGCATCGAGCCATCCACGCATCCAGCCATCCATCCATGCATGTGCTTACCTTAATCAGTATCCATTTGTCTGTCGGTTTGTGTAATGCGGATCCTTGTGGTACGCTTTGACCTACCTGGCATTCTCCGAAGGGGCCAAACAATCCGTAGTTTGTTCATTCGATTTGTTGAGAGCATTTTTCATCCCAGGTTAACACTGTATAACTGTATAATGATCAGTTGTTTTGTGAGAGACAGCCAGTCCCAGCCAAGATTCATGTTCGAGACATGGTCCGAGTTGTTGGCGAGTTTGTTCCCGAAAGTGCAGTTGATGGCCATTTATTTGGCTCAATTTGTTTCTTGTTCCCAGAGGGTCCAGATATCTACTGCCAGATTTCTATCGGGCAGGAAGCCGCCGCAGTGTTTTGGAAGCATGCACCGGAAGCGCGTGATCTGCCAGCGGGCCCAGAGCACATCAAATACTTAGTTTCGTTCAATCCGAAAGCACCAGGGCTCCCAGTGCAAGCTGCAATCGATGCGTGCCAGAGAAGTGACTCCAATATCACCTTTTGCAGCTGCGCTAGATCACGGAGAGCCGCTTCGAGAAGGATAGCGGCCCAAGCGAGGCTGGCTGGCGCTTGGTTTGCGCATGGCGCCTTGATGTGGGCTGAGCAGAGTGTGTAGAATTGACCGAAGCAATGGGCCTTGATATTTAGAAGACCCAGAAGGTTGGTCGCATGACGGGCCATGCGGGGAGAGACACGGCAACATGTTCACAGTCGCTTTCTTCCATGCAATCCAACTCCTGCACTAACATGCACTCGAACTAACTAGCGCTTTGGATGCACCTGATTTGCCACAGCATTTGCAGTCAAGTGGTTGTAACAGTATGACACGCGCAAGAGAGAGAGAGAGAGAGCGGCCGGGTGAAACTGCGAAGATGTACACTTCAGATGTAATCAGGGTTCCGGAAATTGTGACCGCCAGGACTTACCAGCTGGCCAAAATTGGCAGGGCGGCACGGTCTATGGTATCGATGGTCGCCTGGAGCGCGTGCCCCGCTGGACCCAGCACTTCTTGCCGAAAGGTGCGGCATGTTGCCGTGTGCAGGTGGCAGGGCGGGCAGAAATTAGATTGGCACAAATGAGATGTGGGTATGGGTCAAAATTGAACCACCAGGGGACCACAGGTTTTAGTCATTGTCTCCATTTACCAGGGTGCCATTTTGGGGTTACCCTATTTTTGTCCCACAGCCATGTGCAGACGAGCACTTGTTTGCAGCAGGCCTGCGGCAGCTTGTGTTCCAGAGTCCCAGATTCTTAGCAAGAGTTCCTGCCCCAAACTGGCGAAGAGAAACGAAAGGTTGCCAAGAAGGTGAGGGTTCCAACAAGAATGAGGTCGGTGAATTGAGGGGGTGCTAAGATGGAGGTGCGCCAAGAAAGTGTGGGATTCCTGAATTTGAGGGTTGCTGAAGACATTGAGGGTTGCTGAACATTTGAAGCTTTGTGCCCAGGATCTGTTTTTGCTGGTTGTTGACATCGTTGTCGCCCTCCCACTCAGATGCCAGCGTTCAGTCACGCAAAGAATGGTGTGGAGCTAACGCAAGAACTTGAATCTGATGAGATATCCTCGATTCTCAAGTTGGTCTTGAGTTGGGTTTGTGCAACATCTTTTCCGCATGCACTGATTTCGCCATGTTCATATCCTTTTATTCCACATTCGTATTGTGCTTCAGGCCCCCTTTAGAAGCTTGTTGCCAGCCAAGCTTTTGCCGGCAGGTTTGATGGCCAGAGTTCCTCGTCACTTCGACAAACTCTTTGAAGGTGCCGATGGAGTAGACAATGGGGTGAGCCTCGGCGGAGGACGAGTCGCTGTTTGGACTCATGTGGGTCAAGCATGCCAGACTTAGCTGAACAAAAGCGACAACACAATTATTAAACAAGCGCGATAGCCAAAACGATGATGTTGTGCACAGAAATTGCTTTTGCACGCCTTTCCTAACCTCCACGCGTTTTCTACGAGTGTGGAAAAGTCAATATTTTTGGAAGACAGGTTACTGCGGGAAAATGCGGTTTCATGATCCATGATCCATCCAAAAAGCCTCAAGCTGTTGAGAAAGAGGGTTCGTTTGCAATGCTTTCCACAAGAGCTCGCATGGACCCTGAAAGCCACGTTCTGAAGACTCAACCACCCATGACTTTCAAGTGTCTTACCCAGAAGTTAGGTTTTGGCCAAACATTCAGTTGTTTTTTTGTTTTTTTGGTACAGTTGGGTTTTTGCCAGAATCAAACGAAAGGTGAGTTGCAAGTACGGAACACACAGCACTGAACAACTATAGGGCGTTAAAACAACGATGACTCCCAACAAGGAATTCTTTTGACAACGGGGTTGTTACGCAACCCCACTTGCCCCGGAAAGGCTACACGCCAATGGCCATGGCTGGAACGTGGGGACCAAGGTTTGTGGTTTCCGACTTTGTTCTGCATCAAAGAAATATGTTTCACTTACTGGGCTGCTTTGAATCACGTAAAACGTCACACTGGGTTTCCATGCCAGCCATAGCATGGCATCTCCATCCCCATTTCTTTGGTATGTTTGGTTCTTGTATCCTTTGGGGAAATCCAAAGACACAGTGTGGTTTTTTTCTTCCAGGTTAGCTGTATTTTGGGAAAGCTAGTTTTGAGAGAAAGTGCGAACACCAAGTGCAAAACTCCCCCCCCCCCAAAGAAGTTAAGATCATGTTGGGGCTGGCAAAAGTAGTTGGGCCAAATTAAGCCTAATTAAGCCAAATTAAGCCTCTTTAAGCTTTGTTAAGCCAATTTCCTTTTACTAAAATGGACTCCGAGACACAAAACCCCACACCTGCACAGCCCTTGCTCCTTTCTCGCACACACCTCCACCCGTCATCCACCGAGACGTTTGTCCAAATTTGTCAAATCATGACTTCTGTGTCAAAGGGCGCTTTTTCCTCAGCCTTCTCCAACCCCAGCATTCCCACCTTGCTGGAAAAATATCAATTTTGCCTAATTAAGCAAATTTGATTGTTTGTTAATTAGGCGAAATCAGGCTTAGTTGAGCTTTGTTGAGCCTGCCCAGCCCTGGCAAGCGCAGCATGGGTTGCTTTTGAGGGGCTTAGTGAGTCAAACCTTACAGGTGAAGGAGAAGATTCAATCAATTGACGCCAAATTCCGGGCAATGCGAGCTCTTAGGCTTAATTAAGCTTAACCTGGCCTTAACAAATTGGGGGGGGTGCGTTCTAAGGGACCCCTCTCAGCTTAGAACAATCCCCCCCCCAAAAAAAAACATGCTAAGCCAAAACGGCGTAATCCAGCTTGCCGGCAGGCCTCATTTCAGCCGCCAGTTTGGCCCCGAATATGCTCAGCTAGACAGAGACGGCCTTGTGATTATTATTTTTGGGGGTGTAGCTTTGGGAGGGGGGAGTCTTGCACTTGGTTTGCAACAATCCAACGATCCAACAATCCAACGGACCCCCTTGAAGTACTTCCAGGAAATGGGGACATATTATTGATTCGTGAGGACATATTGGTATGCAAATTATGATTGTTCCTTGGACGAAAGGTCGCGAACGGTTGCGCGAAGGAGATGTATAGTCTACCCACCAGCGAGGAAGGTTCGCGTAAGTGGCCGCAAAAGCACGAAGTGGCCGACACGCTTCCAAGAACGGGTCACGGCCTAGCCCCGAGAAACCCCAAGGCCGCAGAGCGGTGTGCCGCACAGAGCAACCTCAACAAGCTGCATGTGCGCGAAAACAAATTTGAGCTTCAAACCATTTCCCAATCCACGAACCGCGTCAGCGATTGTCTCATCAGAAGCGTGCCATACTGGGGATTGTGTTCTTTCGTTTTTTCCGCTGGACTTTTGTTTACTTCCCCACTGGGTCGGCATCCAAACTTCTGCGCAACGCTCTCATGCCGCCTCGCGCAAGCCTTCGCGAAGGGCAGCCTGAAACTCCTGACGACTTGAATCGACAAAGGACACCCAGGCAAGCAGCAGCTTTAGCTTTTTGACCGCGCTTTTGTTTGAGCGCTGAGTTGCAATAGTTGAGACTCAGGCTGGCTGAATCGCTCATTTGACGCGCGTCTTGCTCCAAGCGGCTTTTAATTTTATGCATGTGATGTGATGTACCAACAAGCGAGTTGAATATTTTTAAATGACCACCCCACCAGGGAGGGTCCCACCACAATCATTGGACATGTATTGCAATGACATTGACCGGCGCATGCTGCACCAGCTGATCTGAATCCAGTTGAAGGAACGCCGTCAGATTTATACCAGTGAAGCGTCCCAGGGCACCGGCCTATGGGAGAATGCTGGTGGTATTTGCTGAATAGCTGCATCTATATAATACATGTCGTGTTTGTATTTAAACGCATTACTCAAGAGCGTATTTGTACATGTATGTATAGAATCCTTCTATTACAGATACTGCGGTCTAGTTGCGGCGATATGACATGCCACACAACAATCATGACATTTGGGGGAAGCGGCATCAAGTAAATGTTGACACATTTATGCAACTTATTCGGACTGCGCCATATCAATTTCCCGTGTAGCAAGAGTCAGCTTTTTGCGAAGCGCTAATGGTGGTTCTGATCAACATTCTGCCCACGTTTTGCTGTAACACACCACACTGACATTGTGTTAATTGAAGTTGTTTCACATTCACCATGAAGCTAATCGCGCCCAGTCGACTTCAAAATCATCGAACCATCAGGACAACGCTGATATAAGAAGACAACATCTGAACAACAGCAATGCCAACAAATGCAAGTTGAATCTTCTGCAGGTTTGAAGACATCGTTTCAACGGGTGCGGATGGAAGGTTTGGATTGGCTCCAGGAGCCGAGGCTTGCAGGCTGCAGATGGCTGCATAAGGGCTTTTGAGAAAGATGCCGTCCCGTCAAAGATGGTACAGACGCATTGATTTGGGGTGATGTGTGTGTGTGTGTGTGTGTCGTGTGTGTGTGTGTGTGTGTCGTGTGTGTGTGTGGGAGTGTGGGTGTGCGTGTGCGTGTGCGTGTGTGTGTGTGTGTGTGTGTCGTGTGTGTGTGTGTGTGTGTGTCGTGTGTGTGTGTGTGTGTGTGTGTGTGTGTGTGTGTGAGTGTGGGTGTGCGTGTGCGTGCGTGCGTGCGTGCGTGCGTGCGTGCGTGCGTGCGTGCGTGCGTGCGTGCGTGCGTGCGTGCGTGCGTGTGTTTGTGTGTGTGTGTGTGTGTGTGTGTGTGTGTGTGTGTGTGTGTGTGTGTGTGTGTGTGTGTGTGTGTGTGTGTGTGTGTGTGTGTGTGCGTGCGTGCGTCTGTGCGTGTGTGCGTGTGTGTGTGTGTGTGTGTGAGTGTGGGTGTGCGTGTGCGTGTGTGTGTGTGTGTGTCGTGTGTGTGTGTGTGTGTGTCGTGTGCGTGTGCGTGTGCGTGTGCGTGTGGGTGTGTGTGTGTGTGTGTGTGTGGGTGTGGGTGTGGGTGTGCGTGTGCGTGTGCGTGTGCGTGTGCGTGTGCGTGTGCGTGTGCGTGTGCGTGTGCGTGTTTTGTTTTTTCCCGAAAGATGGGTACCTATTTCCGGTATGTGTGTTTTTTGGTGGTCAAGCCACACCAAAAACACAGAGAACAGCATCGGAGGCCTCAAAAATTGCGAGGAATGATCCTCTAACTTTTAGCTGGCTCATCCTGTGTTGCCATCCTTCAAGGCTTGTCCATTCCTTGACCAAGGAAGCAAGCGCCCAGTCTCAGCGTGGACACTGCTCCTTTGGAGTCTTTCTCCTCCTTCCGCTGCTGGGACTGACAGTTGCGGGGCTTTGGTCTTCGGCACAGATGGCATTGTATTTTGCAGAGCCACGACATCGAGCCTGTTCTATTGCATTTTGGAAAGTAAGACAAGAGAACCTGGGCTTCGTGCCTTCTAGCAATGTCGCGCTGGGAAACCACTGTTTTTTGAATCATTGGATTCCGAGGCATCATCCGGGAGTCTGCGAGCCACGACCCCCTGTCTCAGAACTCCGGCTCGCTGGCATCCGAAAAGAGCTCCACAAAGCCTCTGCGCCTTTGTCGGGCTCAGTGCACTTACCCACCAAGTAACATGGAACCTGACAGCGGGTCCCTCTAAAAGGAAAATGGTCCAAACCAGGACCCCCTCTGTCAGGTTCCATGCTAATTGGTGGGAGATTACCAACACTTGACTATTCTGACAATTTGGCAAGCTGTGATTGGCTTTCAATTGGATCAGTCCTAGCACAGGGCACATAATGCAACACATCAAAAGGCCAAAAGGTGCAAAGATTGGCAAATGCAACTCGCCTGATGCGGTGCACAATCGCTTAAGGAAGGAGTCCTCGGCGATGCATACATTGGAGCGGGCAGGCTCGGATTCGCCTTTTCAAGCGATATGCGTTAAACTGTCAGGTGCGTTGTGCGTCCATATGGAACTGCGTGCTTGCCTTGCATGCCTTGGGTGTATGAGCTTAATGGATTTGAGGAGCCGGGTGTTTTTTTCATGTTGTCCGACCAACTTGCTTTTGTTGCTTGAGGTGGCCGACATGTTTTGTTCTCATTTTGTGCAAAGCGTCGTTGTCAGAGCTGTTTGCATCAAAGATGTTGCAACTGTTGGTCAAGAACTATCAGTTCGAAGTAGCCTTGAACATGCACGGTATTGAGCCCCGGTGCCTTGTTCGGCAGCATGATTTGTTCCAAATCAATGCAGAACGCTGTTCACAGGGAACTAAAGACTACAGCTTGGGAGAGCTAGCCTACCAGTTGCGGATCAATGACAGGCACGAACCAGAATTACATTGGCAGAATGTATTTGCACTTTAGCCTCGCGCGAGTCAGGATAGCTGAGCAGCTGAGTTGCATTTTGATCCCTGTGCCAGGCACAACTTACTCCCACAAGAGCGCTAGCCGCACAAGTCGCTCTGCCTCCATTTCGGCACCCTTCAGGCGCCTTGCACGGAGGCGGATCCGGCGCTTCAAGAGTTGTGTGGTCGCAGCTGACTGTCTTTGCCAACCGCTCATGATAAAGATGCCCAACCAAGTGCTTGCTGGTCAGCTGATGCACATGTTGGTCCCAGAGCTGGCATCTTCGTGGACTTTCGGCACAGAGAAGCCGATCTGAGTTGCGAGCAGTTCTCTTTTCCAATGCTCGAAGCTTGCTGGATGTGTGAGGGTTTCCTGATGTGACTCACGGGCTAGGTGGCCTTTTGCAGTTGCAGATCGGTGAGTTTGACTCCAAGACTAGGAATATCGGTCAAATGTCAGCGTTGCGCAGTGCTTGTGAGCTGTGTCACAGCATGGCCTGATAGGCCGAGCGCTGAGCAGAACCTGGTCATGAGCCCTGTGTTGGAGGATAGAACTTCGGTTGAGCGAGTGGTGTGCTTGCATGCATTGTCTTTGCATCGCTAATGTTTCGAATCGCTTGGTGGCCGACCCCAGTCAGAGGGTATGTGAGTACCTCTGCACAGAACGCCGCCTTTCTGGCACTTGCAAGTGATCAAGTGACTGTACTTGTGGAAGCCACTTGCGTTTGTTGTGTGAGCTGCATGTTGAGCTATGGGACAGTCTTGTTGGGCCATGGTCGATGCTGCGCTTCCGCGCACTGTTCCTGTCGCTTGCATTGGAATCTAGCCACATTGCATTGACACGAGTTTCGATCAACTTGTCCAGTCTATGGTTCATTTTGAGGGACATGGGGGTCACTAAATGCCCCACAAAAACAAGTGTGCTCACTATACATCGCATGTCATTGACTGCGGCTCATCAGGAATTGCGCCGGATCAGGGCACATTGCAATGCGCCAGGACTTGCCAATGACAGCACGCGTGAGGCGCAAGCCGGAGGCGGGAACCCAAGTTTCACTGGCTCTCGCATCTTCGCGGCTTCAAGCAATTCTTTCCTGGTAGCATCAGCGGTGAGAATCTTCCCTCTCTTTTCACTACACATGCCTCTGTTTTTGTTGTTTTGCGTGCGCGCATGGCAGGTGCATAAGACGGAGAGCCGAGGCTGGGGTCAAGCGGTTCACCTGCGTTCTCGGCGAGCGGCTGCAATTTTCAAGTTTCGCCGCGTGGCAGGTGCTTCGAAGAGCCGCAGCGGCACGCCGGGGCCAGACGCGCCAGATAAACCCCAGGAGTGGGGGACGGAGGGCGACTTGAGCTTCGGCCACGTTTCACACAGTGCCTGAAATTTCTTGCGTGCATGGACAACATCCATGGAATTTGTTGCTTGAGACGAAGCAAAGAGGACATCATGGTCCGCACCGGGGGTTTCCAGTGGCTGGACAAGCAGAAGCCCGACGCGGCCTTGGCGCTCGGCGGCCCAGCCTGTGAGCTGGCGGTATGTTCCTGCGCTTTGGCTTGTGACCCTTGGGCTTAGCAGCTTCGCCCCTCGAGTTTGAGGGACTCTGCATGAAAAGGACCGCGAAAAGGCGGTGCAGAGTGGCTGCAAACGAGTTTGAATTGGTTCGAACCTTGAGTGATCTTGAGTGTGACCAGTGGAACTTGTTTAGTCAACAGCATCGGGATCTTAGAGCCGCTTAAGTACTGCGACGCGCAGGTTTCAGCGCAACAGGCCACTATGACTCACTTGAATATATGACTTCGTGCACGCAGATGACATGGGGGACCCGCTTTTTGCTGATCTCCATGACCTCCCAACCATGACCTCCCAAGCAGTTTCTTGGGCGCGTAAAACACCGGGATGTGGGTATGGGTCAAAATTAAACCACCAGGGGTCCGCCAGGTTTTGGTCCATGTTTCCATTTACCAGGGTGCCATTTTGGGGTTCAAACAGGTCAGCGAGGATTCGCCCAGCTTGGTCTCGTGCCAGGTCTGGAGCTCCGGCACTAGAAGAGCCCAAGTAGAATCAGCAGCACTTGAAGGACAACTCGGCAGAGAGCAGTTCGCGGGTTTTTAGCAAAGGCGACATCGCGAAAAAAACGAACCCATGGCTGCCGTGCCAGAGCCAAAATGAGCTTTTGATTTGGAAGAGGAGACAATCGCATGCTCGACATTCCTTCTCACAATGACTGAAGCATGAATGCGAGCAAAATTTTCAACACATGACACCTTAGCTTAGACATCCGCCTTCACAAGACGTGGAGGCGACGCCAGATCCAATCTTTGCTTCGCAACTTTGAGCTGCCTTGCGACATGCGGCATTTAGTCGCGAACCTGTCACCTTCATAGGTGTAACGTGTTGTCATGGTTTGGCTCGCAATTTTGTTACTTAATCATTGTGGCTTGACACCTTGGCACAAGTTGAAAACACATCCCTCTGTACGTGAGCTTGTGTGTGTGTGTGAGAGTCAAGCTAAAGCGGCTTCATAAGGAGCCTCATCCTCCTCATTCTGAGTTGTGAATGGAATTAAAGATCCGTTATGAACATCAGCATGTTGCATACGATGCTTCTGTGTTGAATTGCTAAGCTTGTGCTTGTTCCGTTTGCATTCTGTTTACGTAGTCAAACACATGCCAATGCTGGCAGCTCAGCAGCAGGGCAAAGTGGTAGTTTGGGATGGTAGTGGAAATACCACTTGCAGCCCACGCGCAAGAAATGCCCCTCCTGAAGAACAGGAGCAAGCGACCCGCAGGCTATTGCAGAGCCTGAGTTGGTTCCATGGATTACTACACACGTGCCTCACCACTTTTTGCAGTCTTCCACAATTTGACGCTTGCGACAGCCTGCATTATGCTTCGACACAATTTCTTTCGCAGGTGAATACCCATAGCTCAGTTTATGCGCAAGCGACATTTCACTGTGAGTTTATGCGCTTTCTTCATTGAAATTCATGGCGTCATGTTGGGGACAAACCACTGTCAGCTTTTCCAGCTGCAGCAACGTTGAGAGAATTGAGACAGCCATTGGCCTGTCCCCAAGGGTTCCCAAGGTTGCCCATTTCTCGCAGGCTGAAAATCCTGTCCATCCCCAAGGTTCCCAAGGTTGCCCATTTCTCGCAGGCTGCATCCTGTCCCAAAGAGGACAGGCATAGTCCTGCTGGTTGCCTGTGCAGCGCGCGAGTTCACAAAGCGCCTTGCGAGGTTTTCGTCCAATCTTTCTGGAGTCTCTATAGGTTCAGGAGATTTCAGCAGCTGGCGCAGCAAAAAGACTGCGCACCGTGTCTTGAGCCTTTTTGGGGCCACTTGCGAGCTGCAAAGACGTGAGGGAACTTGTTGTTTTCCCAGAGTGATCCGCTGAAGCACCTGGCATTGCTTATTGTTTGTTCAGAGTGTTTGGTGTTTCAATGACAAAACAACACATTCAACCCAATTCAACATGTAAGCGGGGACGCAAGACCTGTTTGTGTGGAGTCTATGCCTGCATGTATGATCACATCCATTTCAGCCAGACTGGCTGCTTTGTGGCAGGGGCTTGCATTCTTAAGCCCAGAACCAGTCAGCAAATATGCCGCGGCCGCAATTTGCCCAAGCTGCAAGCCCTGCTTGCAGATGAGAGCATATGTGCATACAAGTCTTTGCACGTTTGCAGATTCTAGCTGACGTTCTGAGAGTGACATGAAGTTTGCTTGGGCTAGATCCGTGGCCTGCACAGGAAACGAATGAACGTGGCTGAGGCAGAATGCGATAATGTTAGTCTTAATCAATGCCACTTTGCAAAGCTGCTCCAGCTACCGACGCTAGGCCACAGCAACTGGATGTATGGAAGGCTATGATTCAAAGGACTCAGCAAGAAGCGCATTCCTGAGCCATTGCAACGGTTATTGGGTCAGGGTTCATGATTTAAGTTCCTGCCCCTCGTGTGTCACCAAAAGCTGCGCAGTCCTGGGCAATGCCATGCCCTTCCGTAGCATTTCAATCGCCATGGCTGGCCCTATGCGCAATTTGTGGCGCAACGACCCCACCGAGGTCTTGGGGGCCGGGGCAGGTGAGTATCAATGCCTCGGCCAGTAGTCACTAGAGGATTTGCATCCAGCCTTTGGAAGGAATATGCCGATGATTGCGGGTTTCCGCCAACAGGGCATACCAGTTGACCATTACTTTGCTGAGCAGGTTCAGCATCTTCCCACCTGCCTTGATTCAGACGACTGATCGACCCATCTCACATGCTGCACAGACGCAGGTGACCACTTGCAGTGGATGGATTTCATGATATTAATGAGGCGCCATCATGTGGCCCTGTATATAGGATGGTGCACTGTATACTACATACATACACAGCAACAACACCGTGACTCATCGTGGAAGCAAGTTCCAGCACGCATCTATGTACCACAATCATAGGGGCTTGGCTTTTCCCCATGAGCATGCCAGGAATGGTACTTGCAAGGATGGAGGACAAAATTGCCAAACTCACCACTGCGTGTTTTCTCGATGATTTGTCATAGCGTGGCCATGGGTCAAAACCTATGCCTCCATTTTGGGGCGGATGAAGACCCATGTACCACCTTTTTTTATGTTCACCAGGGGTACAGGGTTTTGACCAACAGCCGTAACCATTGACAATCTCCTGGCGGACGGATCGCTTCAAGCACTCCAGGCCTTGCTGCCGCCACAGCCACCACGACGAGTAGGGGAGGCGTGGTGCTTGCAAGTGCCATGCGACTCTGACTTCCGCATTTGGACTTGCGATTTGCAGACAATTACGCAGGATGGTGGAGATCTGATGAGTTGAACGCTTGAGGAGTCCTTGGCCTCTTTCCTGAGTGGATTTAGGTAGGCTTAGGTGGATATTGTGGACGTGAATCTCTTTTTTTTTGGTTGGCGGTTGAGAGAATTCAGATCACAGGTTGGCAAGGCCAAGCTATTAACGATCATTGTCTTTTTGATATCACGGAACCAATGTGATGATCGACATCCAGAGCCCCAGCACGTTGCTTCTTACCCAGCCTGCAGGTGTGCTGGCCCACACTGACCACACTTCTTCGACGCTAGGATCAGAGAAGATGCATTTTTCGCTGAAACTTGTTTTTGGAGCGGCCAGGTTGTGGGTAGTCGCATGCGCTTTCTGTCCGCACCTGAGTCCAAGACATAGCAGATGCGTCGAGTCAGGATTCCTGTGCCATAGCAGGCCTGCCTTTCTGGCACAAGTTAATGCTGATCCGTTTGCGCGCACGCTCAGCATGGTTTTCTGGCACAATCTCCACCCAACAACTCTTATACCCGACATTTGCGTTGTGCTTCGTGTGTGTGTGTGTGTGTGTGTTTGAATGTGCAGCGTTGGACTGTGTGCCGCATGTGCCTTCAGGTTCCTTCACGCGCTTCGCTCGCTGGCAGAAGTTGCAGTCGGTCGTGACATGCAGGACGAGGCTTTGTCGCAGCAGGCGGGGCTCTCATCTTCAGGGTGACTCAATCAACCCTTGCGAGGCTGAAGGAGGTCCCAAACTGATTCATGTTGCAGGAGCTGCTTTCGCAGCTCGCAGGACGTAGTTTTGTCCTGATTTTGAGCCCTGCAACTTTTTGACCTGCAGCGCTGCATTAGGGCAAAGCTACACTTTGCGCTTCTTCTCCAGCGCTAGAGACTGCCCTGATGCACCGATTATACTGTTATATTTTCCATGTTGTAAGACATTATATGTTATGCTGAGCAGTTGTGCTGCAATATTGAGATGACAAGCACAATGCCACATTGTATTCTTGGCGTGTCGTTGTGCAAAGGGATGTTGTCACTTGCACTTTGCTTTCACGAGCACAGCAGTCGCCCTGCCACGGTTTGTGGCGTGTTTGATTTTTGCATCGGTCCAAGTAGGAGCATTTCGTCGCGTCCTTGAAGCAGAGCTTCCGACGGTCCTTAGCAGTTCTTGTCCAGCCGCAATTTTGTCCAAGGCGAGCCTGGCCAATGAGACAGCGTTAATTTGGTCGGCAACGCGCGTGGCTTGAAGAAGATGATCAGTGGCTGTAATCTGATATAAGATGGGCACAGCAGATCTTGGGGTGTCAGACATACTCTGGATCACCGCAATGCGCAGTCCACGGAAAGCGAATCGTTCTTTCAATAAGAAGCAGGTCTTGTCCATGTTGGTATAAACTTCCGGGCAAGAATCGACAAGCATTCTGACTGTGCTCTGAACAAAAAAACCGCACCGTTTTGCAACAGACCAGTTCCCATACCCCCAAACGACATGACTGAAGGTGCATGGAGAGGCTCAAGTGCCGCTGAATCCATCTGGGCGCGGCTCGAAGTCAAAGAGCTAGGGTTACGCAGGGTTTGTCTCCGGTTCCATTTGGCAAGATGCATGTTTGGCACATGGCCGTGGGTCAAAACCAATGCTACGATTTGGTTGGTACGATTTTGGTTGGTAGGTGAATTCACCACCCGTTTTAGAACCGATTTTCGCGATTGGATTGAATCGGATGTTCACTGGGGATGGCCAGGTTTTTGGATTTGACTTGCGGCCGCATTGCGGCCAGGTCCACAACTGCTTCTTGCGCCTCGTCTTCTGGCTCTCGGCAGCCACAGTGCTGATGCTGCTGATCGGGTGCTACTTTTGGACGGTAGCCATAGGCTGGGGCGAAGCGCATGCTGACAGTGGCGTCTTCCGAAACGGAACACATGCCAAGACCATGCTGGTTCGACATGTACGCGACTGCCGCTTGCTGGGGTTTGACTTGGTTCGAAGGAGCCCAGGTTGCCCAGGTTTGTGGACTGACCTGAAGCACACGCTGTAGGCACAGGACTAGGCGTTGCTCGGGCTGTGACGCTGAATTACTGGATGTTAATCACTGAACCAACAATGGCAGCCACATCTCCGGCGATATTTGGTGCGAGACCTGAACAAGTTGCTGAAGAGTACGTAAACCGTGTAGGCTTCTGCAAATGGGCTTGCATGATCGCCTCGCGTCTCTCAGCTTACTGCCAAAGTGTATTTTGCGTACTACGCTTGTACTGAACATCTGCGATTGTCGC